TGTGGAAAATATAATTAATGAGTATTTGGTGACATTGGTAAAATTATATTACCTATTCATCGACAAAAAACCAGGAACAAGATCACACATCTGTATCGTTGTTAGTATAAATTAAAATTAAATTAAATTATAAATAATTAGATAAAAAAATTTAATTAGAATAAATCAATTTAAAAGTTCGTCGTTAATCCACAACTGAATTACACGAAAGTCAACAAGTGATGAACTGCAATAAGAAGTTTCACATCAATTTGTATAAAATTAAATATGGTAATAAATATTAAATAATTTATTAAATATTACGATATGTCATTTGTTATTTCGTATGAACAGCAAATTTAATAAAAATATGAACAGACAACGGGGCTGTGAGAGTGATAATTAGTGTGTAGATTCAATAGTTTTTCAAAAATTAAATTAAATTAATTAATTAGACAAAGAGAGTCTTACAATATTCTGCTTCGTTTCGACTTTAATATTTGAGTTCTCTTCAATGACAAAAAATGCAAATAAAAAGTAAAAAATACAAAAAGTAAAAAGCATGTCGTTAGATACTGTTAAACATAAAGCTCTAGATATACCAAAGTACTAAAGGTTCTTCATTTTCAACTTAAAATAATTATATTATATATTAATAATACTAAGCACTTATTGGACTACAACCGATGGTACAAAATGACGGTCGATATAGTCAATAGGAAAGTTGTCGACATTTCAGCTCAGATAAAAGATTGCGCTACTTTGGTATATTTATAAGAACTTTAGTTAGACAAGACGAGAGGTTAGTGGATAAAAATTATATTGTCCAACCAGTTGATAGACTAGATGGAAACACATTCATCCTACATTAAAATCAAATGTTAACAAAGACAATGTTTGCAACAGTTGGTTAGAAATAAATAAAAAAAATATATAACTTACCTTACAAGCAACAGTCCATACGCAAAATTGAAAAACGGATTTTATATAGAAAGTCAGAATAAAATTATATATATAAAAATGTAGAAATATACGAAAACGAGATTATAAAATTGTACAGATTATAAAATTGTTACAAAAGACAGGTTCTTCTTACTCGAGTTTGAATAGAATAATGCATTGACAAACAAAAATTAACAAAAATGCACTAACAAACATGGCGTGAATATATCTTACATATATATTTTTTTACTTCTGATCAAACCGTCACAAACATTGTCTTTGTTAACATCTGATTTTAATACAGGTTGGATGTGATTCCATCTAGTCTCCAACTAAGGCTGCGTTTGGAAATATTTCCTGGGTGTTCCCGTGTATCATCTTATCCTTGTTTAACATGGGATGAACAACAAGGATAAAACAATATATGGGTGATGTTTCTGAATTAGGGCTTCAAGATTGATTCGGATTTAAAGCTATCCGGATATCCGTTTATCCAAATTACGAATAAATGTACTGCTTCAAATTCGGGTTATCCAAAGATTCGAATTTTCTAAGATATCCGAATCTGAAATTCGAATAGGAAAAGTCGAATCCAGATCCGGTTCTCAGATTCGGACTCGTAGAAAACTTATAGCGAATTTGGTTGGATGCATTAGTGCGGACTGAATGTATATTAGAGTCATTGTATTATACACTTATTTAATCTGAGTATAAAATACGGAGTGTAAAATAAAAAGTAAAATACAAATATTTCTCTTATTAGCCTTGTACATCTTTGTTATTACTATTATATTTTAAGATTGAGAATTTGTTCTAAATATTTATATTTTTTATAAACAATATTAAATTTCATAGGACGTATATGTAAGAAAAACAAACTATAAAACAAATGCCTTAAACAGTCTAGTTGGATTTTAAGCTTATATAATTCTGATGAAATCTATATTTATATTTTTTAATTTTATGTTTCTTCTTTTATATATGTAAATCAAAATTCAATTTTTATTTAAAAAGTAATTTATGTTAACTTATTAAATACATCGATATTTTCTTTTTTTCTGGACATGGATTTAAATCTGGAGTCAAATTCAGATCCGAATCTAAATTTAGATCCGGATTCAAATTCAAATCCGTTGATCCGAATTATTCGTATATCTGGATTACCCAAATAATACGGTTTTGAGTTCTCGGATTGGAATCGCTTTCGGATATTCGAATATCTAGATAGTATCCAAATACTTAGAAGCCCTATTCTGAACACAGTCTAGTTAAACAATATAATTTTATGTCTAGCAACTGACTTCTTGCCTTGTTTGGCAATATCTGATACAACATATTTTCAACTTCTTAATTTTTGCGTTTTTTGTCACTAAAAAGGGCTCAAGTGTTAGAACCGAAATGTATTTCGACAAAATATTGTAAGACTCTTAGTAATTGACTAATTAATTAAATTTTATTTCGGCGCGCAATTCAAATAACTGCATATTTACTATATAAACTCATATAGAAATTATTTAAAAAAGAAAAGCATCTAAGATCCAGCTTCGATCGTAATAAACATTAAACTCTTGCTTGTTGTGTATTCATATGTATGGTTTTAATAAATCGTTCATTAAAATACAAGAAGTATATTAAATATTTTTAAAGTGGTCACTTTAACTTCATTTTGCATTTTTAAACATATTTTAATCTGTATTAATCAAGTTATGATTATTTAAAATTTGATTATTTAAATTTTTCCTAAATTTTCAGTTTACCGTTTTTTTTTGAGTAAGTGTACATATAATCGTTTATTAAATTTTATTTATTGGAATCTGTGCAATAATTATCGTGCCACTCTCATAGCGCCGTGTCTCTTCATATTCTTGTTGAACTCTGGGAGTTCTTTTATACAGTTTATATTAACAAATTTAACCTTCAATTGTTCATTTGAAACACGAAAATGACAGAGTTTGTTATTTTGTTATAGTGTGAAGTATATTTTTGGATTTTCAGTCGAGTCATCGACATCAAAAATGGCGCCAAATATTTTAAGCACAGATTCAAAAATACTTATGGAGAAAGATTTACAAAATGAGAAATCTTCAATTATTACAAAGATGATAGATGCTGAAAATCACACACAAAACAGAAGCAAAAACTATACAAAAACTGAAGGCTGGTTCAAAACGGAGCCGAAGTGGTTTAACATTTTATATCTTGGTTTTCTCCATTTATACTTCGTATATGCCTGTTTTACTTTTGATTTTTTTGAAAATCTGATGACGACTGCTTGGTGTAAGTATTCTTTGGAAAATTCTTTTGTAAGAAATTCTTTAATTTGATTCCTTGATATCCTCTCTAAAAAAAAATTACATAACAAAAAAATAAAATTTAGACCATCAACGAATTAATCATTAAAATTGTAATGCATGTTTATAAAAAATATCACAGTCGTTTTTACAACTTCTGACTCGAATAATGGCTAATTAAAAGCCAATTACGTGATTAAAAAGAGCACGCAATAGAACCTTAACAGCAGATAAAAAATTATTGTTTAAAATTTCTTATTTTCTTATATTACATCAATTGTATAATATAAAAAGAAGCGTAGTAGCCAATACTAGTTCTTATCGCGAATCTAAACGTTATAACATTCATTTATTATTAATTCAACAGTAATATAAAACGTTTAGACCTTTGTCATCCTCGATATTAGAAAATGAACGTGCTAACTCAGTTTTGAATGTAATGAGGATGACGTAATAAAGGTCGAATCGTTTATACTTTATATTACATTGTTGAATAAGTAATAAATGAATGTTATAATGTTTAGATTTATGTGTGCAACAAGAATTAGCATTGACTTTTATGTTCCTTTATATATTTTGCCTTAGTTTTAAAGCCAGTCTTTAATTATCTATTGTGTTATTAGTTATCATAAATTGTCAAATGTCGCAGTAAAATCAGTGCTACTTACATGACTCTCCCATAAGAAATACGGATTAAGTTGTTATGCATAATATTAAAGCGTTTTTAATGTTAATTATGTCTATGTTTTTTGTTTCAAGTATTTATCACTTATGGATTAGGAGGAGTAGGTACCACTGCCGGTCCTCATCGTTTGTGGACTCATCAAGCTTATAAAGCAAAATGGCAGCTTAGAGTTATACTTGGTGTTCTCTATGCTTCGGCTGGCATGGTAGACATTAATAATTACCTTAATTAGTTTTATTTGTTTTATGCAAGAGAGAAACAATTTGTTATTACAATTAAATCCTTTCAGAATAACATTTACGAATGGGTACGAGATCATAGGGTGCATCACAAGTATACGGATACGGATGCAGATCCGCATAACAGTAACCGAGGGTTCTTTTTCTCTCATGTTGGTTGGTTGATGGTGAAAAAAAATCCAGATGTGATTCGAAGAGGTCGTCAGGTGGATATGAGTGATGTATTGGCTGATCCTGTTGTTGCATTCAATATCAAGTAAATTTTTGCAAAGAGTTAATTATGCGAAATAGCTTCATTTTGAAAAAGACAAAAGAAAATTCGAGGAAAAAAGAATATTATGAAAAGGCTCATTTTTACTGTGTCCGTGAAAAGTAAAATCAACATTATTTTTTATAATTGTTGAGGCAAGAATTCTGATGATGCTAATTAAAATTACGTTGGATTACAAATTATTTAACGGAAATTAAGTGTATAAGAAATTAAGTTCAAGATTGAGAAAACATGACAGGTGACGTCGTATTATTCGTGAGATATAGGTTGCTAACATTATATGTATATTGATGAGACAATGTGAAATATTATATATTTTTTAACATGATTAAAGAAACAAATCTTCGATTAAATAACACGTTATCTGATTATTTTCAGTGCTCAACGAACATTTCGGTTCATATCAGAAATTGTTTGATTTCAAGATTTTTAATTTAAGACAAATTTTTAATTAAAGAAAAGATTAGCTGCTGCAGCAAATTATATGGTAAAATATGACATAAGATTTTTAATTGAATGTAGCAGTCAATTTTTTGTTGCGTTAGCCGCAATGTCAATACAGATTTAGGTTAACAAAACTAAAAAGTGGTTGCTGCAACTAATTAAAAATTCTATGCCATATTCAGCCAATCTTTTCTTTCAGTGTATAATACTTTATGTTACAATATTTCTATTTTACAGTTTAAAAATAATTGTGATAAAAATGTAATACATTTTTTTGGACACTAATGTATTATTAAAATACAGCTAAAATGTTTTCTCATTTAGTGAACTTTTTCTCAAAAATTTGATAAATATGTCGCTACGAAGATTTATTACACGTTACATCGTTATTGTTTTGTCCAAATACTATAATGTCTAAATAAGGAGATGAAACGATAATCGAGTTTGATTAATGATAAAGCAAGTTTTTAATTCCAAAGTAAAACATTATGTACATTAAATAAAACGTTATGTGCATTAAGTAAAACGTTACGTGCATTAAGTTAAATATTAATTGTAGTGTTACGTACATTTTTTGTTCTGCTATGTCCTATATATCGCAAGGTTACCTACACAGCACGAAGTCGATTGATAGGCGATTGTAAGTCGGTAGAAGAAGTTTAAAGTCGACTTCGAAGTTAGACTGATTGTCGACAAATGTGTTGACTACAATTGGCTGTTAGTTAGTCAATGTAGTTAATACAAAGTCGACTTTATGGCGACTATAAGTAGACAATTGTAAAAAGCATTTCCTGATAAAAAATTTTTTATATATGTACATAATTATATTCTATAATCTAAAATAAGTATCATTAATTAGCATCATATTCCAGTTCAGCAAACAACAAATTACATGTATAATGTATATGTTAGTTGTAATTTTTCATTTAATAATATACAACTGTAACATAACACATGTGTGTTATATTACAGTTATATTGTTGAATGGGAAATTAACTTGGTGTTTGCTGGGAGAATACATACAGCAAAAAAATTATGATAAAAAAACGTTTCCTTGTGAATTCGGGAATTAATTTCATAGTACTTTGAAGCGAGTCTAAACTAAACTGTTACATCCAACGCTTCTTGAATATCTGAAATCGTATAGAAACTGCTTCTTCGATAATTGACGAACTGATTATTAACGCATGTTAGATGCAACCAATTGTGATATAGCTTTGACATATTTAATTAATAGGCAGGTATAGGATGTAATGATGCATTTCAATACAAGAATCTTTGAATGTCTTACAACTTCTCGTTTTATTTAAAATAACATTTCAGAGATATGTCATATATTTTTTTCATCTCATCTCATTTCGCCATGAAAAAAATCTAAAAGACATCAATAAATAATTTTAGCTTAAATTAAGTCTTTTAATTAAAAAAAAAAATTGTTTTTTTTACATAAAGACTCATTTACACATGTTTAAACTTTTTTGCAAGTGAATTTCTTATAACTATGATTAACTATTACTTTAATGTTCTATATGTTTGTTGAGCTTAAAAAATCGCGTATTTATCTGTAAATTCATTCTTAAAAAATATTTAATTTTAATGTACAAAATCAACTAAATTTATGTAAAATAAAAAACTTATTTTAATTGAAAGATCAATTCAAGCTAAAATTAATGACTATAATGACAAAACAAGCTAAAATTTCTTCATATTCAGTGATGGATTAAGCATTTTGCCACCCCTAAGCATCAACATTTAATCGCTCCTAGACTTTATTAATTTATGAATTTGATAAAAGGGAAAATAGATTAAAAAATTTATTACCACATTAGCTACTAAAAAACATTCAATAATCCTTAATAAGTATAATACATTTTTAATTGTATATTTAAAATATCTTTCTAAAATATGCTTAGTGTAACAAAAACATTAAATTAAAAATTTATCTCAACTGTGTGAACATTTTCTATCTTAAAAAATTTGCCGTCTTAGACAAGTGCCTTGTTTGCCTATGCATTAATCCGTCACTGTTCATATTATGTAATAAACGACTGTAAAAATTAAAAAAAAATCGGCCTCTGACATTCCCTGAGGCTTACTTGTAAGCAGGGTTGGTAAAAAATATGTTTTAAACATTTTCAAACTATTTAAAACATACATGCTTAATTGAGGTTTTTAAAATAAATTTGATACTATTTTATAATGATATTATTTTATAGAACAAAATTTCAATTTAAAAAACTTTATTTTTTTTAATTATAGTATGATGGTTTTTACGTAATTATGAACAATAAAAATAAAAATTCTTCTTTGTTCAATCTGCAATAACTCGATAATAAAAAATTTTAGAAACATTTTTAAAAAACGATTTTGTAAGAAAAATTAAGCTTTTACGTTAAAGTCAAAGATTTTTGCAAGTATTTTTTAGACTTACAAAGATATATTTTTGCAGTCTTCTTAATTTTATGAATTTTTTTTACGTAGATTTTTTTTATGTAAGATATAAAACTGTCATAAAAATTATATATTGTACTTAATTTATGGTATTTTGCAGATATTTTCCGATATTAAAATTTATGTTTGCTTTCCTGCTTCCGGTGATGTTACCTGTGTATGCGTGGAATGAGACTTGGTATAGAGCTTTCGTGTCCCAGGATATTATCCGTTATGTTATCCTTTTAAATGCCATATGGAGTGTCAATAGTGCGGCTCATATTTGGGGTTCAAAGCCATATGATACGTAAGCAGATAATTAGTATCAATATTATTCACATATAATAAACTTGATCAGAAGACATAAAGCTTTTGCCATATTGTATTGCCTAAGAATAATTTTGTCTCGTTTATTTCAACGGCAGGCATATAAATCCGACAGAGAATCGATGGGTTAACTTCTTTACTGGCGGTGAAGGACTTCACAATTATCATCATGTTTTTCCTTGGGACTATAAGGCTGCTGAATTATACGGTTCCCCAACCACAGCTTTTATTAACTTTTTTGCGAAAATTGGGTGGGCGTACGATCTCAAAGAACCGTCGAAGGAACTCGTAAAAACTATCATGAGGAAAAGGGGTGATGGAAGTCATTCTTTGTGGGAAGCTGTGCCATATCCAGCTATAAGTAAAATTGAATAATAAAAGTGACAGAGAATTATCTCATTTTTATAATAGAGAGTTTTATTGAATCAATTAACAAACTGTGGACGCACAGAAAAAAAATTAAATTTAAGTAAATATATTTATAAATTTACAAGTGGCTAGAAAATACAAATATAAAATACAAGGAACATGCAGCCACACGCAGGATGTTTTTTGCGAATGTCATATATTTAAAATTCTTACGTTAACAAAAATTTCAGGCCCGATTAGTTTAAGAAAGAAGCCCGATGAAAGAAGATGGTCCGATTAGATTAGGAAAGCAGTAAAAAAAATGTGAGACATGGACATGATTAATATTTAATAATTAAATAATATAATAATATATAAGACTTTTTGTATTATTCCCTTTATTAAACTTAAGTTTTGAAAAAAAGTATTAACAATATATATTGCAACGAAAGATTGCAACGGCATGTTCTTTGCATATCGTAATTCTTAATTTATTTTTAAGTATTATTACAGAATTAATAAAATTAATTTAACAAAATAAACAAAGTGAATAGCGAAAAAGAGTCGACGCATAATACATTTAATTAACGATATTAGTCATAAATACATAAAATATGAAGTAGAACGGCATATATTAATATACAAGTTTTGGCTGCTGGATTGAGCCCTCCTCAGATATAAAAAAATGAATATAATAAAAAAAGTAATAAAAGACTACATAAATAAATAATAAATAAATAAATAAATAATAAATAAATAAAGTTTAATGTGAACAAGTCTGACTCTCGATTCTGTCGACCCGTCTCCTCTCTCAGTGCGTCACGTTTCGTTTTAGCGAGCGGTCGTTGTCACTTGCGACATTGACATATTCGACTTCGACGATTACAATCCTATCTTCGTCATGCGTTTTCACACCTGTTATACATTACGGTGGTTCTGATTTGCTTGTTCGGGTGTGTTGATGAGTGAGTACTTTACTTCTTAACTGCGTCGTATCTAGTTTTTAAATTTTTAAGTTTGCTTGTTTCTTATGAGTTCCCTTCCTTTCCGGTTTTTCAGTTAGCACTTGACTATGTATCTTAACATCTGTTTTGACTGCTCCATCGCATATACATTAGGCTACGTCGAGATCCAACATAATTAACTGATTAATAACTGATTTCCGCTCGTTAAAAATGTTGCGACACTGAACTTTATTTATTTATTATTTATTTTTTTATGTAGTCTTTTATTACTTTTTTTATTATATTCATTTTTTTATATCTGAGGAGGGCTCAATCCAGCAGCCAAAACTTGTATATTAATATACGCCGTTCTACTTCTTATTTTATGTATTTATGACTAATATCGTTAATTAAATGTATTATGCGTCGACTCTTTTTCGCCATTCACTTTGTTTATTTTGTTTATACATAAGAATCTTTACATCGTTGTTATTATTATTATTATTATTATTAGGCGTTAGGAACTCGAAAGCTCATTGCCGCAAATACCAAATCCCGCCACTGTTCCCGTCCCTGAGCCAGATCCCTCCATTTGTGACCCTCGTACCCCATTTCGTTAAGGTCCATTCTAATATTTTCTTCCCATCTACGTCTTGGTCTACCCAATGGTCTCTTCCCATCCGTTATTAGCCATTTCGTTATTATTTGTTTAATTGTAAAAATGTGGCTTGTCTCGTACTTATTTATCAAAATCATAATTATCTATTAAAATTAAAGTTATCTTGGAATTTTATACGTAAAAAGCGTATATTTTGCTCGATCTTTGCTGCCAATCTTAAAATGCTTAAAATTAAATTTAAATTAATCTTAAAATGCTTAAAATGCCAATCTTAAAATGCCAATGCTTAAAATGACAATGCTTAAAATGACATAAAATGCTTATAATGCCAATGACAATGCTTATAATGCTTAATGACAATGACAATGGTTAAAATGCTTATAATGCCAATGACAATGCTTAAAATGCCAATCTTAAAATGCTTAAAATTAAATTTAAATTAATTTAAGTTAATTTAATGCAGCATTTTAAATATCCGTTTACATCGTTGTTATTTAAATTAATTTAAGTTTTTGTAACTGCTTCAAGATTCTGTATTTGAATTCTTATTGGTAAAATATATCTTATGGTCTTTAATCTGACATAATTATAATATTTATTAAATTTTTTGGGAGATTTTGAAATCCATGACTGAAATGATATTTTTCGCAGTAAATTACATATTTACAGGTTTTTAAGATAATAGCATTATTATTAAATTAATGCAATAATCAATTAACATTCCAGATAGCCAAGCTCGTACAGATTTTAAGAAGAGTATGTCAATTTGTTATAGCAGAAAGGCAATAAATTTCACACAGACTCTATAATATCTGACAATGTCGGCAAATTGCCATTAAAAATATGATAAAGAGTGCCGATATATTACGTCAGCAAATTGGCAGCAAAGATCGAGCAAAATATACGCTTTTTACATATAAAATTCCAAGATAACTTTAATTTTAATAGATAATTATGATTTTGATAAATAAGTACGAGACAAGCCACATTTTTACAATTAAACAAATAATAACGAAATGGCATGCAACAAAAATTTCGTCGTCAAAAAGTCACTTTTCCACGCCTACAAGTTCAGCATTTATCGTGGTGAGGTAACACATATGCAAGTACATGTCTATGTACGTGTAACGTAAGTACGTGTCTTGCCATCGGCACTCTGAGAGTGAACGAAATAGCGAGCTCTTTCTCACACTAGTCGCCTGTTTCAAGTGATCGAAAATGCCTTCTCGGCAATCTCGGCCACGACATCGATAAGGGAGGAGGATCAGTCTAAATAACATGTAAGTTTTAATAAATTGTAGTAATAATGTACACCTTGCATTTATCCAGAATAGTATAAATCAGGTTAAAACGCAACAGTTTATGAAATATTTAATTGTTTACAATTTTTCATGCGCGTTATATACCTCCTTCATAAATTCTAGTAGCAAGAATAGTTCAGTAAAAGTAAAATTTTACTGGAAAAAAATTATAAACCAGCATTTCTTTTCACGAAAATCTTCGAAATGCCATTAGAAAAGAAATATGTTTGAGACTTATAATGAAAATATGCGCAAAAAAATCGAATAATTGCAAAAAGCACATTTTTCTCTTATAAAACGAAAAATATTGATTGTATGGAAACAAAGTTCGGTACAGGAAATGTAGATATTCGAAATACCTACAAAATAAGATGTGGAATATTAAAATCAATCTATTAGTAGAGAAAAAAATAAAAACCATCGGAAAAGGTTTTTTTTCACGCGCTCTCTGTTTATCGAGATTTAATCGCAAAGCTCCGAAATTTTTATAAAACGTAGCCCTCATAATGACAAATCTAACCCTGAACGAGTTTGAAATGTTCATTAGTTTTTGCAAAAAGCTATTTGTTCACTAAAAAATCTGTTTGCGAAAAATTTATTGAATTACATCTTGGAGCAATCTCACAGCAATTTACAGGAATGGTTTTTCTTCTTCAAGAGTTGCACTATCACGTACATTTAATAATAAAACGAGTTTTTTTTAGTTAAACTATTAGAAAATAGCTTTGAAAAGTGAGTATCTTTTTTTCGTATAAAAAAATGGAATAATTCTGTTAATATGCAGCAGTGCATGAATTCGCTGGTTCATAGTAGCGGTCCGACTTATCGAAAATAAGAAAATGCAATATTAAAACAAACTGATAAAAATTCTTAGAGTTCTAGGAGAAGAAAATAAATGATTTTCGTCTCTTGCAGTTTTTCTGTAAAGTTGATAATATTTAAATAAAAAATAAACGTCGATAAGTCGAACTGTTACTATGACCCAGTGAATTAATGTACTGCAGTTACATCAATCCTATTTGTTCCATAATTAATTGAAATATGCCAGTATTTCCAATGAAAAGTATGATTAGGATATATCTGGAAATTCAAGTGACTTTGAAATATATTCGCTTTTACAAACAACAGTTATAGTTTGACCAAATGTAATTTCAAGATATACGCAGGTAACAAGCTACGTCATTTGTCGTCATTTGACGTCAGTTTGCTCTACCAGAGTAAATTTAATTATATCTGGCTATCCACTGCACAAAACCACATTTGGCCAAATATGTGTCAACTTTTATTGGAACTTATTTGGTATTTAGTGTAGGATTGTTAACTTGCGAACTTACTTGCGTCTGTAACATATAATATAAACAGAAGTAAACATATATTAACAATCATAAAAATTTATTATAATATTTTATCATTTGTGTTATTTTATTATTAGATTGCGAATGTGGACAACATAATCTTTAATGATGAAAAGTAAGAAATCTTAATATTAATAGTTATGACAATAGAAAAAATAATCTTTAGCATTGTATGTAATACTTTTTGCTAACTATATTTCAATCATAGCAGCTATTGCACATGATGTTGCAATCATAGCTATGTGTCGATACATAGCTTTTATCTCATAAATATACCTGTTCTTGTTTAAAATGCGTAAACTTGCAATTCTTCTGCATATAGTTACCTTAAATTATTGTTTTTAGTGCAAAAGACATAACGTAAAGGCATTTTTTTTATTGTGGAAATGCTATTTATGTTACAGTTGAACTACTTATAAAACGTACTAATACGTTAGTCTGTCATACAGCGTTGCAAGCATCGCATGTCACCGAAGATATCAAATAGCACGCACAGTAAGTAATGCAGAAATACGAATTAATCTATTATCTTTTCGGATTTGGAGATATCGGATTTTTGAATTAGTGGAAGAGACTCAATTAGCAGTTCAGAAAACAAAGAATATATATTATAAAGAAAAATAATAACAAAATACTAATGAAAAATGCCAAATGTATAACATCTATAAGTGTATACAAGGTTTATATAAAAAATAGTAATCAATTTTAAAAAGAGTAAAAAATAAAGTTATAATTTGATACTAACCTATAAATTTATAGAAATATATCATCATTTTGTTTTGTTTTGTCTACAAAACTTTAAAAAAATATAACTTGATTACAAGTGTGTAAGTATTACGTATAATTATATGCTGGTCCTTATAAAGACTCGTCAAATCCTTAATTTAAGACATTTAATAAATATTGATATAAAACGTATTTTTTAAAAAGTAAATAAAACGCGTTGTCAAAGAAATAAGAAAAGTTTACTAAACTTTTTTTAAAATTAATTGTGCAGTTCTTCAAAAAAAAATTTTAAATTATTTTATAATATTGTATTTATCAAATCTATTAATAACGCAGATATTATATAGCTGTGTACTAATATAGCTATACTAATATATTCATTTATT